CGGTACTTGTTGTACTTCTTTGGGTTGTCGTAGGTTCGACGTTCCTTCTGGAATTCATACATCCGGTTATCGATTCGGACGGTGTGCTCGATGAGAGACACCATATCCGTTGGTTGAGTTTTCATGCGTGCAAGTTCCATTCGGACGTTACTCTTCAGCCCACGGCGATAGTGGCTGATGAGTGCGTTGGTATCCCAGCCGGTCTGATTGCCGTATCTCTGGAACTCCGTGGCATACGTGAGAGTGCTGCCAGTCTGTTTTAGTGCATACAGATGGTCTTCCGCAGTCTTGATCTCATCGATATCGCCGAACATGCGACGGATTTCCTTACAGAATCCTTTCCAACCGCCAAACATGCCTTGGGTAGTTGCCATGCTTCCATTGGTACTTTCATATTTGAAATAATCCTTGAGGAATGGTTCGACCCATCGCAGGGCTTCCCCCCTAAGGTAGGACGCAGTCCACAGGGCATAGCTCTCCTGGGTGGGAAACTTCTCATCATTGAAGTGCTGGTACAGTTCGACCTGTAGCAAAAAGACCTCAAGTTCCTTTCGGTTGCCGGAGTAAGTGTCAGGCAACTTGACGCGTAGAGTTTCCTTGAGTTCGTTGACGGTGGGTGCGTCGGGCATCTCTTCATTCTCAGGCTTAGACCTCTGAGACGAAGTTGGCGTGGTGGGGGTTTTCCCCTTCGAACTGACGACAGACATGTTGCTTTGTGTATGAGCCAGTGCCTCGTAGAAGTGGTGCTCAAAGTGTAACGCTGACTTCTAAATGATAGTAGACACAGAGGTTCTCTTGCGTAAAGGTTTACTTATCATAGGAGGCAGGGGATCAGACACAAAGGCTTCAAGTAACACGTTACTAGTATATAACAAATACTGTATTGAGTTGAGCACGAAGCTCCTATCTAAGGAAATACTATCTACTTATATAGTGGCGTCGTGCCTAGTGGACTCCTGGGAACTCACTCGAGTCCTCGGAGTCCTGGACTCTTAGGATTCTTCTCATCATCCTGCGAGTCCGTCACGTGATACTTTCGGAACTACTATTCCCCGCTGCCCCTCCAGGTACCAGGGCCGGTCTCATGCGACCTCCCTCCTTCCTGTCCTGTAGTTGGCCAGCCTTCTTGTTCCATCGTAACAAAGGGGCGGCAGAAGGGTGGAGGGCACTGGGTAGACAGATATAGGTAGTGAATACAACTGTTTATGCACTGAATAACTGTTGTCTAGGCCGTGAATGTTAACCTGCTGTCACCGAGGTTATCTAAGAACAGTGGTGCTATTGGTATGGCCGTTTGAACCATTCCAGGGCCAAATTACGCTGGTAACATGATCCATCACCATTTACTGAACATATCCAATTACGAGGGATCACTGCATCGACAACTTCATTTTATCTACGATATGAAGCCTTATTACCGTCTATTCAATCTACCCGTTCAACCTTCCTAAACAATTGGAACTCCAAACCGTGATCTTTGGGTGGCCGTGTGCGTGTGCCAGCGGTGCTTCAACCTTTATTTTCAGGCCGCCGTTTACCCAATTTCACGGTCACAGAACGGTGCCACCACTCAAAAAAATTTGGCTGGGACCCCGGTAAGGTAGTGGTCACAAGTAAGGTAGTGGTCACAAATATTCCAGCTCGCGCCCAGATCCAAATGCAGTTGTCTATTAATACACCAATTGTTTACATTGCATGCAAGCTGAGAACAAGAAACGGCACTATCCCACATATGGGTGTAAGGATCAGGTCTGTGCATGAAACCCCAACCCCCCCATACTGAACCCATTCTTGCCCTGACAGTAAGTAAGCTGACTCAACCTTACCAACCTCCATATTCAATTCCGCGGATGGGCAAACTCTCTCATTGCGCCCTTAATTGACGGCACTGATGTGAGCGATCGAGTTTCGGCCCCGACAATGTCTCTAAACCCAGAGGAGCGGCGGCGTCGCATCTCCAAGTCCCCGGGCCGTGCATCCTCCCCACCCGATGACTACTCTCCACCTCGATCATCGCGCTACGGTGAGCCCAAAAGCTCGCGATACTACGACGACGACGACGATGACCGAGACCGTAAGCGCGGAGACCCCTATGACTATGACGATAGGAGCTCGGCGCGCGCACCGCGGGAGCCCTGCGACAGAGATGACGGCCCGCAGTACGCCGAGGCTCCATGCCGCCCTCCCGCGTCGCATAAAAAGACAGCTAGTTTTGCGATGCCCGGCGGGTTCAGCGACGACGAGGAGGATCCCAACATAAGCAAATATGGCAAAAAGGAGAAGGATTACTACGGCGACAAGGGCTCGTCCCTGAGCAGGCGAGATGACAGCCCGCCGCCCCGCGATAAGCCACGATATGCGGACACTGAACCTGAGAGTCGCTACAAGAGGGACGTGAGCCTGCCGTACAAACCGCGGTATGCGGAACCCGAGCCAGAGTACAAACCGCGGTATGCGGAACCTGAGCCAGAGCGCAAGCCAAAGTCGCGGTACAAGGATGAGAGCCCTCCATCGAAATCCAAATACGACGAGCCGGGAGCGTACAGCAAGCCGCGCAAATACTACGACGACGATAGCCCACCGCGATGGCCCAAGTATGCAACTCCCGATTCTCCTCTACAACCAAAATATGCTGCGCCAGTTGCGCCAGTTGCGCCAGCTGCCCCCCAACAGCCAAAGTACTCCGCTCCGGAGCGAGACGCCAAGCCGAAATACGTAACTGCAGACCCCAGTCAGAGAGGAGGTAATCCGAAATACTGGGAAGACAAAGATAATAACTCGGACTCGGATAGCGATGATAGGGACGATAGCGACGAGCAGGATGGCCCAATTGGCGACCGAAGGATAGATATTGACTTTGAGATCAAGCATGACCATTACGACACAACAGTGAGGAAGCGCGAGAAGCACAAGCACCACCACGAGTCGCCAAAGTATAACGAAGTGGCTCTTGTTACGACGACGACGGATTCATCGAGATATGCGGAGCCGAAGGGGTGGGAGTATGCTCATCCTGAAGAGAAGATTACCTACACGAGCAAGACTGAATCATATACGGCAAACCCCGGACCTGATGCTTATGGTAGGCCAGCTTATGACAGGCCATACGCACCTCCGTCATCAAGCCGCCAGCCTGACCCGAGAGCTCCCGGAATTGGTCCTGGTCAGACTCAGGTCGTTACAGTAGAGCCTGGTAGAAGAAACCGAACGTCATCCAGTTTCGGACCAGGTGGACTTGCGCCTGGAGGAGCTGCCATGCTTGGTGTCGCAGGCGCCGCTGCCGCTGGAGCCTCGCTAGCAAACGCCCCGGGTTCGCCCATGTTGGAAGCATACAAAGGAACTTACCAATCCATGGGGCCTCTCACGATTACGTCCAAGCCATATGCCGACAATGCAGACGTGGATATACTAGAGATTGCACCACCTGCCTCACCTACCTCCAAGCGCAGACATGCGCGCTTCCATGATCTCGAGAATGAAGCTTCGATCTTGAAAAAGGCGCTTCGTGAGGCGAAGTCAAAGACATATCCCGACCCGCAGCCCTTCATTGAGATTCTTCCTTCGCTCACCCATGAGCAGATTTTTGATCTTCGCGCCGAGTATAAGAAGCAGGTAAAGACACCCGACATGAAAGGTGTGAATATCGCAAAGCACATCAAGGTGCGCCTAAAGGAGGATAAGTACTTCCTCAAGGCTTGCTACGCCACTGCACTGGGTCGGTGGGAATCTGAAGCGTACTGGGCGAACTCGTACTACCAGGGCTCGCAGACCAGCAGAGAACTACTGATTGAGAGTTTGATGGGGAGGACCAATGATGAGATCCGGCAGATCAAAGACGCTTTCCGCGATAAGAAGTACTCTGACAGCCTGACCCGCTGCATGAAGCAAGAGCTCAAGGAAGACAAATTCAAGAAGGCCGTCATGATGGTGTTGGAGGAGAAGCGAATGGATGAGCGCCCGGGTCGCTCGCTCGACCGCTCCTTAGTAGGGCAGGACGTGAGAGACTTGTACCGTGCCATTAAGTCGGAGCGAGGGGGTGAGACGTTGATGATTGGGATTGTCGTTCAGAGGTCTGACAGTCACATCCGTGAGATATTGCGCGTTTATGAGGCTTCATATCGCTCGAATTTCGCGAGAGAGATGCTGAAGAAGAGTGGAAACTTGGTGGTATGTACAGCCCCGCTGGCTGTTAATTGAATATGGAAGCTAACACTCACCCAGGGCGAAATGCTGGCGCATATACTGAACGGCATCATCAACCGTCCTGTCCGCGACACGTTGCTACTGCACCATGCGCTTACTCTCACCAAGTCTGATAGCTTGCGTGTCGACCTCCTTATTTCGCGTCTGGTTCGATACCACTGGGACCGCCCTCATATGGAAGCGATCAAGAGAGAATACCGCAGCCGGTACGGCAAGGAGCTTCAAGAGGCTGTGCGGGAAGGAACGAAGGGTGCATGGGGCGAATTCTGCGAGGAGCTATGCGTGAAGAGAGTAGGGGATGAAGTGAAGCGGTTTGATAAGGTCGAGAGGATTGGGGCGGATTTTGCGAGGAGCTATGCGTGAAGAGAGTAGGGGATGAAGTGAATCGGTTTGATATGGTCGAGAGGATCGAGGTGCATGGTGGCCCCAACGGGGGTATAGGCTCGAGAGATGATATACTTCGGAGGGATTTTTGATAGGGAAGACATGGGGAAATATCGTTCATAGTAGGCAGAGATATAATTCAATATGGCGTTGGCCAGGTCCACATCCACTGCTCTTGGAATCTTTAGCCCTTTCAGCCCCGGATGCCAGGGCAACGCTGCCGCGCTGCAAAATATAAATAATGTTTAAATCGTTAATTTACGCAAAGGTAACACCAATAACTTCTTCCAGTAGTTCTTTCGTCGATTATATTTACAACAGGCGATCTTTCGGTGAACTCCGCGACTTAAATCGCCCTTATTCAAGCTTACTAAGCCTCCATACTCGGCTCCTCCTAGAACGTAAGCAGAGCAGCCACATTGTCTTTCGTTCGTAACAAAGGCCAAGGAAAGAATTGGTACCTTTTTGTTTTCAAATTGATAGCCCGCAATCTAGATTCAACATGAAGAAGTTTTCATTCCGCTCGTTTCGGCCGTCAAAAGGTACGCTACTCACTTTCGTACACCACGGTCTTGGCAGACATGAGGGAGGATTCCATATGTGGCTGCCTCAATTCCTTGCCTTTCAGCCCCTTCTGGTTTAATACCTTCTCGGTGTTTAATCCGAGAATCTAACTCCTATGTGTGAACGGGGAATATATGTATCATCGGGCGGCAAACATACTGAGAATATCACTTCAGATACAGGAGGGGAGCAAGGGTCATCATCAAGTGACAAGCAAGCTGTTTCGTCGAAGCGGAGAGAGCAAGTTCGTAAAGCTCAACGGTATGTCCCCACATGTCATCACTCCATGGCCGTAGCGGCCGGGCTTCACATGGATTGTGATTCGCGTGCTTGACGGTAATCGAGAGGGTTACTATTGTGGTGCCCAATAGAGCTGAAATCCGATCAATTACAGGACACATCGCGAGCGCAAAGAAAAATACATCAAGTCGCTAGAAACGGAGGTACTACAGCTACGCACCAACGAAGCCAACTTGCTACAAGAAACGCGGAGCCTGTATGCAGAGGTTAGCCAACTTAAAAACCTCCTCACAGAACTTGGTGTCCAGTTACCAATCTTGGGTGCATCGGGCCTGGCAGAGTATGAATCTACCGCATTTCCCTCCAACTCGGTGGTGAGTATTCGGCAAGGCAGCATAGGACCACAGATACACGTGGGTCATTCAGCAGCAGATACAAGGCACCGCAATGACGGGTTTCATTTATCCGCGAATCTTCATACAGGCGGGGCTCAGCGTATTTTTCATAAAGAAGATAGCCAGACATCGGATGTTACTAGCAGTCTTCAATCCCGTAAGTTAGAGGGCGCTCTGTTTACGTCTTCTCACTCACTTTGCTACTCAGCTGCCTCTGGAGAGGTGTTATCATCTCCCAATGCCTACGAATCAGCACAGTCTGTGACAAGCCCCGAGAGTACGGCCGACCTCGACATGGAGAGCATCGGGGTAGAATTTGTATTAACGTGAGTTCCCCCATAATCCCTTCAGGTGGAGATCCTTGGTCAGTATGTGTATCTAATATACTAGACTACAGCCTCGAGAGTCCGTGTCTCGGTCATATGCAAGGAAATCCCGATGAGCCAGAAGCTCCCAGTGGACACGTTCTTACAGTCTCTGCGCCGCTCCTCTACCGAGCTCCCAGCATAGCTACGGGTCCCCACATCTGCACGACCACGCCCTGGGAGGCACCCGCTTCTGGGCTTGAACGGCTCTTGAGCCTATCCCAGGGTTTAGTACTATACGGCGAGGTCACGCCGGTTCAAGCATGGAATTACATCCGACGGCGCCTAGGGCCCAAGGGCCTTGAGGTGGAGAGGCTTCGGACGCTGACAGAGAAGCTGCTGAAGGAAGTTAGCTGCCATGGGTAAGTTGATCGTACTCCACTCTAGCAATGGTGATAGAGGAAGGATTGGTTACTGAATTAACTCCGATCTAGGTTTGGCGCCGTTGTTGAGCAGGGAACTTTTGAGGGCCTGGTATTCGACACTCTGCTAGTTGGACAGGTGGCTTAAAAGTTAGTTGATATTTTGAACAAAAGGGCGGCTGGTGCGTGCGTGAGTTCTGTTTGGTATCGGGGATTGAACCGGGGATTGGAGAGTTCCCCGTCTGAATTGGGCTACATAGCTCTAGCTCTTCTCATATTGTAGCAACGCGTCATGATAATAAACAGGCTATACCATTTAAACTCGGTTTTTATTGAGACTACGATGTCAGACAAGTCATATTCCCTCACTTTGTGCTGGTTCCATGTGTTCCATGTGACATTTGTTCCTGATGCGACGTCTGGTTTGGCGATCCCCTTACCCCTGTCGTGTTACTCCTTGTTTCTGAAAAGTCAGTGAGGTGCTAACCTCTGACTTATCCCTGAGTTCTCAGACTCAACATTTGTTACAACTTGTCTAAACCACTCCACTACATCATACACCTGATTGCTGCGTTGTGGAATAGTCTAAGCTACGACCCACATAAGGCAGTGTGTTGTCTTAGTAAAATCATCCCTTCCTTGGGTGGCTAGATTCTCACATCTGGTGCACCCACAATTACAAAGGATATACAAGATGGGATGGAGGAATTGGGACCAGAAGAGGTTTTAAATGAGGTCTTAGAGGAGCATCTCAGCCAAGGCAGTACCCAAGATGATGACGAAGAGGAGGAGCAGCTAGAGCAGCCTGGTCAAGATGCTGCATTTACGAGGGTTGGAGCGTCTAGAGTCTATTCTTGATGCTTTAGATCAGGATAGCAGGGTGGATTATGCAAAATTCAGTATAGCGATATATCCTATAGTACGATATGATTTGTTGGCACTGAATACATCGTCTTAGCGGCATTTGACTGTATCTATGTACAGTAAAGCACCGTTATAACGATTATCGATTAAGCGATAACTTCATTATTGCGATATTTTTCCTGGTCCCGACAACACCACCATACAATTACCGATTATCACGATACGCAGCTCCCTTCCTGAATATCGCTTTATCCGTGCTATGGTGTTCCTATTCAGACCTTGAAATGACGAAACGATTTTCAATAACTATTGAGCAACGCCGGGCTCTACGCAAGTCAACAACACCCGAAGCCTTCTCAAAAGCAATGTATCGAATGGTTCTCTCAGAACTACGGCCATAAACTCAGTCAGTCGACAGTTTCTGAGTCTTTAAGCTCACATTTCGAAGATCTAGACAAAGCTATACAACCTACGGGATCACGACTACAAGTTGGGCAGTGGCCAGAAGTAGAGCGACTCCTTATTATATGGCAGCAACGAATTCAATCGCGTGGAGGCTTTACAAGCGGTAATATACTACAAGAAAAGGCTCGAGAGATTTGGCAACAACTACTGAACGACGATAATCTACAATGCCCAGACTTCTCAACTGGCTGGCTCCATCGATTTAAAGCACGATATCATATCAAGGTCCATACAAAACACGGCGAAGAAGGCTCTTGTCCAGAAACAGCAGAGGAGGAAATGAAGGCTCTACGAACTATCGCTGGTGAATTTCAAGAGGAGGACGTTTATAATATGGACAAGACAGGCCTATACTGGAAGATGATGCCGTCTCGAGGGCTTGCAACACAAACGCTTCCAGGATTAAAGAAGGAGAAAACTCGAATGAGCCTCGTCTTTTGTGTTAATGCTTCTGGAACTGATCGCCTACCTGTGTGGATGATTGGACAATATAAACAGCCGTGCGCACTTCGAAATATCGATATACCATCAATGGGAGGGCAATGGCGTGCGAGCCAGAAGGCTTGGATGAATACAACAATTATGAGCGAATGGCTTCACGCTTTCTATCGACATATTGGAACGACTCAACAAGTTCTTCTTACAATGGATAACTTCTCAGCTCATAACACTGCTCTTGAGCTTTGTCCTCCTCCAACAAACATACGTATTTGTTGGCTTCCTGCTAACAGTACTAGTCGATTCCAGCCCCTTGATCAAGGCATCATTCAATCATTCAAATGCCATTATCGACGACAGTGGCTCTCTTTTATGCTTGATGCTTTTACCTCAGATTGAAACCCACTCGAATCGATGAATCTACACTTTGCGGTCCCATGGATTCTACAGAGCTGGAATCATTTTGTCACAAATACAACAATCTACAAGTGTTTTCGAAAATCTACACTTGTCAGCATTCCGATTGCTCTTCCGATTCCAATTACTCCTCCAGGTATCAACAAACTCTATGAACAAGTTACATGAGCTGGCAATATTCATGACATTATGGCAATTTCTAACTTTCTAAACCCAAGCGACGAAGAAAGGGATATACAAGATGGGACACCAAGCGAGGACGAGATTCTACAAGAGGTTATTGATGAGCATCTAGGTCTTCAGCAAACTCAAGATGATGATGAAGAAGAGTTGCAAGAGCGCTCTTTACATTCTGTGAAGAGCGCTCGTCAAGCACTCCAGGTTCTGATTGAGTTTACTGAAGAACAAGAGGCTCTTCAATCAGACTATTTACGAGGCCTCGAGCATTTAGAATTCGCTCTTGAGGCATTAGATCAAGAGTCACGGGTGCAGAGTACGTTAGATAGTTGGATTACATAAGAATCAATATAGCGATATTATCATTATAACGATATATTCTGCTGGCAGCAAATACATCGTTATAACGGTGCTTTACTGTAACCGCTATTCAAGAGCGCCTGTTAAACTCCACCTGAACCGTTTTTCTTGAAACCGGGGCGCTATGACCATTCTTGCCCACTAGTAAGCCACCCCCTTTTGCCGGGTGAGCTACCCTTATTTAATTGGCTGTAATCCTTTAAGGTAATTACAGATATGATTTCACGTTTAACTTGAGATAACGTATCACAAGAGAATGATGCAACCAAGCGAATGATACACTCTGACGCGACTACAACAATACCAACGAAACACATAACCAGAAAGGATATCCTAGAAAAATGATGAAAGAAATATTGTTCTAGCCCTCCAAGATATGCAAAATAACGCAAAGCTAAGCGCCCGAGCGGCTGGAAAAATCTATTCTGTTGATCACCAGAAGCTTAGTCGCCGTATGCATGGTATGCAACCACAACGCGATATTCAAGCCAATTTGCGGAAATTGACCGACCTAGAGGAATCAGTCCTTAGTCAGTACATCCTTGACCTAGCTGTGAAAGGATTTCCTCCCTAAGTGTCTATTGTTAAAGATATGGCAAATCGATGATATAGCTAGGATCTCGACTCCTTGCCCCGACATGGCCCAGTTAGCAAATACAAAACCAACTCCGCCGCCAACCCACTCTAACATCTCTAAGCTAACACGAGAGCAATTGTACATCTAACCTTGGTCATCAAAACCGCGCTCTTAAACCAAACTCCTTGATTCATTAACCCACCATGACAAAGATATCCATCGTTTGTCTTATTATGCTCAAGTGTAACACGAAGACCCAAACACCGTCCCCTCAATCCCTTACTCGTTCTTCCAGCCCTGCATCAACTGCACAGTAAAAATGGGTTTCACCCCGTTAATAGCCGCTAGGTACGCATCAAGCTCCTCGTCATGGTCGATCTGCAGGTTCATCTCCTGCCCATTACTCTCCTTAACAATCCCCTCTAGGCGCACCGGGATGGTGCCGGGGTATTTGCTCGTCGCCAGCTGCCTCAGCTCATCCACCGACACGCTGCTCAGCGTGCTCACCCAAAGTCTCGAGTTCGGCTGAATATCAGAAGCGGGGTGAAGGCGGAAGTAGACAGCAATCGAGTTCGCTGGGTTCGGGAAAGCCGCTTGCGCCGCCTGCGCTGTGTACTGCTGGTCCGCGTACTGTTGCTCAGCATAGCCGTGGTGGTCGTGGTGGGAATCCATGAGCGATGGGTCGTTGGCAGTGGCAAGCAGTAGCGAGGGGTCAATCCGCATGTCATCGTGGTCTGGCATGAGAAGATGAGACTGGTTATGCCGGGCCAATGCCTGGGCCTGCGCTTGCATGTGGTGTGCCTGTGCTTGCGCCTGGGCTTGTACCTGAGCCTGAGCTTGCGCTTGGGCATGGGCAGCGGCCTGTACCAGGGCATCGTGAGGACCCGGCATTGGGTACTGTGGGATATCTTCCTCGCGGTCATTGGTGAAGCTCTCCATGTTTTGCGGAACCCCAGCTGTGAAGTTCGAGTCGAATTTCTTCTTCCTCGTAGGGTCACGCTTGGTTTGGTCGTCGCGGAGGCGCTTCATGACATCTCTGCAAAGGACTTCCATGGCCTTGAGTTTTTCCTGGCGCTGCGGGTCAGCTTCGCCAGGTGCGAGAATGTTCGTTAGGAGCTCAGATTCGTCAATCCATTGTTGCTTGAGTTCGCGCCAATGGTGGTCTCCTGCCTCCAACTTGCTTGTAAAATGGTCTGCCTTGAGAGTCTGGTAGAAGGCGTTGCGTATTTGCCGCGATTCCTCGGGGTTAATACCGAGGGCATTCTTTGCTTCGGCGATCGTCATCCTGCGCTCCAGCGTACGCATTCGCTTCGTGACGTCTGTGCAAACGACATCCAGAGCAAGCTTCTTCTGCTCTTGATTATCAGTCTCCTGCCAGAAGACTTGCTGCAGATGCGGGCTCTCCTGTACAAGCCGGGCCTTCACAGCCTCCCAACGTTCCGGTCCCGCCAGAGTCTTCTTAATAACATCCGCTTCCTCACAGATTCTCTGGAACCGCGCTCTAACATCGCGGTACAGAGCGCTGTCGAGGCTCAAGAACGCCTTACTCTCATCGATCGTCGTCTCCGACGGGAACCTTGGCGGCCCAGGCGGATCAGCAGGTAGCCCCGCCCAACCCCTCGTCCTCCTCCTCCTCTTCCTGCTCAACCACCTAATGGCGCTCTCCGCCTGCAGCTTCTGCAGCCTCTCCATCCTCTTCGCCAGCACCTCCGGGCTCAGTTCCGGACTAACAGCCCTATCCCCATCCTTCTTCGCGGGCCCCCCCTCGCCCTCCTCTACATCGCCCTCGATCTGCTGCTGGCTGCCCGAGCCGTCATCAAACAGCGCCTGCTGCAGCTGGTCCATCACATCCTCCTCCGACTCGCGCTTCTTGGCCTTCATCCCGTTCGGCACGCGCAGCAGCCAGCGATTCTTGGCGCGCACGCGCATCAGCTCGCGCTCTTTGATGTCGAAGCCGTCCTCCTCGTTCAGCACGCGCAGCATCTCGCGCTGCGATACGTTGCGCTCCCAGAGCTCCTTCACCCGCGCCACTAGCTCGACGTTTTTGTGCGCTGGGTTTTGTTTCGAAGGGAACTCCCACCGCTTGAATTGTGTTTGGAACGCCCGTTTACTGTAGCCACACATACAAAGTCAGTCCACCGTACATTCAGACCACAAGAACAGGCAACACAGCTTGTCCTCGGGGTATGGCAGCTGTAACGCCCATGGGGGGGGAGCAGGTACACACCTCGGCGCAAACTTATGGTGCTCCTTCATAAACTCCATAATCTCCTCGAGGCTCTTCTTTTCCTCAATATAGAGGCGGTAGCAGAGCTCCTCTTTGTTCTCCCAATCGTACACCATTTTTGCCTCTATGGGCCCACGCCGGGCGTTGCCTCGGGGGGAATGCGCGATGCGCGGTTCTGGTGCGGTATGCACGGTAGTAGGGTTCTGGCAAAAGTAGTCGTATACGGATACCTTGATGGCCGTATGCAGATTCAACGGTTGATGTTTTGCGTTGTGGGCTCCCTTCGATCGCTGGTGAACGGCAGGGAAGAGAAGTCACTGATGGCAAACTTCGCACGTGATGGGTTGTCACGTGGCTCGACTTTTCACTTTCACTAAAGGATTATCACTGTTGATGAATGAATACTTAAAAGGCGGAAATATATACATGCCATCGACTTTTATTACATTATCCATTGTGCATCCTGACACGCCATTAACTCCCCTAATATCACCCATAATATCCCCATATACCCATCATCCCTCTAAGCCGAACCCTTCACAACCTTCTTTGCTCGCCCGGTCTTGACCTTCTTAGCCAGCGCCAGATTCTCTCTCTCTAGCAATTCTTCCTCCCTCGGTGTTAGCGGCGCCTCTTCCCTCTTGCCCCCAGCTCCCGGGCTCTTCCTCCTCATCGTCCCCGTCCCCACCATCACAAACTCATCCTCGCTCTCCGCATCTCCCAGATCAAGCAACACAGGCATGCGCCACCACTCCTCGCCCAGCACTTTCCTATCCACCGTCCGCACATCCACGGCTTCGTTCTCCCCATCCAGCATCTGCTGCCGCCGCTCCTCCTCGGGGTGGATATCGAACTCATCCTCTGCCTCTTCATACTCTACATTCTCCTCCACCTCCGCAAAGTCCGGTGCGAGCGCCGACCATCGTTGCGGACTGATGATGCTCCAGATGTGGATACGCCCGCTCTCGAGTCCGCACGCCGCGATCAGCGGCCTGCTCGGGTGCCACTCCACCACGCCGTGCTCCTCCTTGGGGCCCTCGAGGATCTTGACCAGACTACCATGGTTGCGCTCCCAGATGTAGATGTCGTGGTTGTTGTATGTACTCGCCATGACGTACTCTCCCGACCCGCTGAACGCGACGTGGTTCCAGCTGAGCCGGTTGACCACGTCCTGGAACTTGTGCTCGACCTCAAGGTGGATCTGGTCAGCGTCTAAAGTCGCATTGTCAAGTGGTGGGAGGTGGATTGTGCGGATCACACGGTCCTGTGCGTTGACTACCATGTCGCGCCCTGATGAGGTGAGGCGCAGGTAGATGACCACGCCAGCACTGATCTTGGTTGAGTAGATTGTCCTTCGTGTCGCGGTTTCGATTATGTTAAGCCAGCCTTTCGATGTGCCCGCGAGTATATGCGAGCCAGACGCCGTAAAGATAGCTACAGTTGTCGTCTGCTTCGCATCCTGCGCCACCTGCTTCTCGCTCAGCTTCTCGCTTTCTTCGCGTGTGCGCTTGGGCACCGATGAGAACTTGTAGCTGGTATCGTTGCGTAGGTCGACTAATAGGGGTTGGTTGTCGAATAGACTCAGTACAGCCAGATGACTATTTGCTTGTTAGCTTCATCCACAGCATCTCCCCCGCGTCACTCCACCAGAAGGATAGCATGTACTCATCCGCCGACGACAAATCGGCCAAATACACCATCCCACCACACCTCCACTCCCCCTCCACACCCCCCGTCTCCAAATCCCACAGTATAACCTTCCAATCCTGCCCCGCGCTCAACAAATACCGCCCATCCTTACTCCAGCTCAGACTCTGGATCTGCCTTGTGTGCCCTCTCAGCTTGCGCGCTATGCCCTGCGTCTCCACATCGATAACTGTCACCACACCATCTACGCGCCCCGATGCAAGTAGGTCGCCTGCCCGGTTGAAGCGCGCGCACGTGCTGTGGCCGCTGCGGAGTGAGGCGGTGGTAGTGTCCGGGTAGTCGAGGGAGAGGACGAAAGGGTCGATTAGAGAGAGATTCATCGCGGTGGGCGGGGATGCATAGATTCGTGTTGCAGTTCAGGCCGTGAGTATCAGACTAGAAATGGAGTGCAGGTTGTGCTCGTATACTGTTTCTGTCTGATGTTCGCCACGGTTCTGAATATTGGTCGTATCTTTGACGAGGCTGGGCTGGTGTCACGAGCGTATCACATGCGGAGGTATAGCACGTGAGCTACGGTGCCAAGACGGAAAATCGTCATGCCGAAGAACACGTCAGGCTGTAGTATATAGTTCAGTCTTCGTAATCTACAGGATTTACTATGCGTATGTGATTGAGAACGTGACCTTCGTAATCTACAGGATCTACTATGCGTACGTGATTGAGAACGTGACCTCGTACTCCCTGTTCATTTGAAGATCCTTATAGGTGGGCTGGAAATTATTTTGGGCACGTGACCTGCAAGGCTGAAGGTGGTGGTGGTTGTGTCACGAACGCATCACGTGCGGAGTCATAACACGTGAGCTACGGTGCCAAGGCGGAGGATCGTCAGGCCGAAGAACACGTGTAGCCGTAGTATATAATAGGAACGCGGACCTTCGGAGGAAGGTCAGCGTTCAGTCTCCGTAATCAAGGGATCTATATACGCGTATACGATTGAAGAACGTGACCTCGTACTGCCCTGTTCATTGAAGATCCTTACAGGTTGACAGGTGTTGATATTGGCACGGCATGTTTCTTCCCAAACCCATTGCAAGCCCCGACCGCCATAACGGACTATTAATTATGAGGTATTATGAATTATTAGAAGTCGCAAGAGGTGTATCCGCTCATGTCTGTACCAAAGTATTTTTCAGAATAATGGCGAACTGGTTAACGGCGATATACCCAAAAGCCTCCTTACGTTAGTATCGCCGCAGACCCGCTCTCTACTCGACTAGACTCTGTGCTTCATGTACAGTACAGAAATAGGGTACATACAGAATACTACCACATAAATAATGTAACTTATAATAACGTGGTTGTACACTGAGTCGATCATGACACCGAGTCGATCATGACACCGAATCGATCACTTTTCCCACCCCACTACCTTTTGACTTTAACACGCGTTTTCTCCACAACCACAAATGGAAATTCAAACCCAAGAAGCTCGAATCGTTCTAGCTATGGAAGCTATTCGTTCATCAAAAAAACTTGGTCGTCGCTCTGCTGCCAAAATCTACAAAGTCCCGTATGCGACACTATCCAATAGAATGGCCGGCCAAACACCTCGCGCTGAAACCAAAGCCAATTGTCATAAATTGAGTGAGTTAGAAGAGGAAGTGATTATTCGAAATATATTGGATATGGATGCAAGAGGGTTTGCGCCTCGGCCTGCTGGTGTAGAAGATATAGCAAATTATATCCTTGAAACACGGGGGGGAAGCGTGTTGGGACACGATGGGCATATCGATTCATACAACGCCGCCCAGAGCTAAAGACGCGTTTTAATCACATTTATGACTTCCAAAGAGCCTTGTGTGAAGATCCTGAGCTTATTGGAGCGTGGTTCAACTTGTCCAGAACATGAGAGCAAAGTACAGCATCCAAGACTGTGATTTCTATAACTTCGACGAGACAGGCTTTATGATGGGCGTTATTAGCTCATCTTTGGTTGTTACACGCGCCAATCGACGTGGCAGAGGCAAGGCAGTTCAGCCTGGCAATCGGGAATGGGCTACAGCAATTGTTTGCATAAATGCTGAAGGCAGGAGTATCCCTCCATTTTTGGTAGTACAAGGGAAGTGTTACCTTGCAAGTTGGTACACTGAAGGTGGCCTTCCTGACAATTGGGCAATCAAAGCTATTAGCAATGGATGGACCAACAATGAGACAGGTCTAGAATGGCTACAGCACTTTGATACACATACTCGTGGCTCTGCAAAAGGGCCATATCAGATGCTAGTACTAGGTGGGCATGGGAGTCATGAATCAGCTAAATTCCAGGACCATTGCAAGAAGAACAACATTATCAGTCTCTGTCTCCCCCCTCACTCTTCTCACTTAACCCAGCCACTTGACGTTGGCTGTTTTAGTGTTCTTAAACGGACGGCAAATCGAAACCTTTATCAAAGCCTGTATAAACCACATTACCAAGGCCGAGTTCTTTCTAGCATTCCACGCTGCATACAAGCAGTCAATTACCCCTGAAAATGCAAAAGCTTCCGCGGACTTACAGTCCTCGGATGGTGGTCGCTCGCGGTGTTGTTGTTGTTGTTGAAATTGAAACAAGAGGAAGTGGGCGAAGATGCGTACTCACATACTGGCTTACAACAATGAACTCTGAATCGGGTTAGTGCAGCCACTTCCCCTTTCATGCTACAAATTTCGACTACAATTACCTAACGGATGCCTTCCGGTACCCATTCGGACCCCCAAAAATAACGAACCGATATCACAAAGCAAAATGTAGACTTCAATTCTAAGCGGAGCTGTTCCGGACACGACCACCCACCACAACTCACCTCGCAGCAAACCCTCCACGTACAAGATAACATTCAGCGACTTTGAGGACAAAGCACTCTCTCAGGACGGGGGTAGTGTAAGGATGCCTCCTTACCTAGATACTCGAAGGACCCGCCTCAGAGCTGTTACAGTCACCACGGGCATGAAAACTGACTTCGTGCTGTTTCGGACCAGTTGAGGAGCACATAGCGAGTTACACTACAGTGGGGAACAGTAAGGGTGTAGGGTTCGGGGTTGATGCAGACCTGTTGCGGTGGAAGGTTCAGGTCTAGGGTTGAGATAACAGAGTCGGGCCCGTTTCGGGTATTTAAGGAAACAGACTTAACGGGGTTCCCCTTCATCTTTTTTGTATCCTTATAGGATAGCATCCGTTTAGCCTCCAACTCGCACTCTCATATGCTATTACTGTGAGCTGGGTGCCCTGTGTCCTTACAAGCAGGTGCAATGTGACTTGCATGCGAAGGGGAGTGGTAGGAGGGAGGGGAAATTGTCTGGTCGGCACTGTGGCACTTGTGGAAAAGCTGGTCATAATACAAGAACCTGTCAGGAGGATGTAGAAGTACTTGGTTTATCAGATTCCGAGTAGTTTTAGTTTTAATACATATTCTGGTTATTTAATTATATTTTGAAGTTAGTGGGGAGGGGAAAAGTGATCGACTCCATGATCGACTCGGTGTACAACCACATTAAATAATCATGATTATAATTGATTTTCTAACCCTGGCCTCTATGGTGGAGGTGGTGAACACGAGTTATAAGATTGTTTAGTATAAAAATAATTTTAGGACCACGGATTTAAGGATCATCTTTATACAGAGATAATCCTTATCTTACAGCTAAAAAACTACAGGACTAGACTACCCATCCTTATACTAAGGATATCCTTATCTAGGTTCAACTATACACTTATCCTATGTGGCCTCTTCTATCTAATGTAGGGCAGCGTAATATTCACACTCATGATTAGGCCGGCTAAGGTCATGTGGAGCTGCCTGTATAAAGGAAGAGAGAAAGCTAGGCAGCTTAAGAGTAACAGACTGTAACAGGGTCCTTAATAACCGTAGACTACATAGGGTGTGGTAATATAGGTTGTAGCTGCATAGAGGCCGACTACGGCAACGTCTTTGTAGTTGCGGTTGAATAGCGTCTGTAACAGAATGTCCGTAGGAGGCTGTATAGTACCCATAACAGGCGCTATAACATGTGGCGAAACTGTTGAAGTGTATGATATCACTTGCAGTGGTAGTATAAGTCATCAAGTTGAGTTGAACAACAGTTCACTGTAATATATGTTGTATTGTTTTTCTGAGTGAAGCTATCTATGGAATTATTTGTGGGTGGTCTGCAACCCGATTCGGTTGGCGAGCCACACGCCCAACCAATCAGTCTGAGCAACCTCCTCCTTCAACACACCCCTTTGCATGACTGAATTGAGGCCATTCCCATTTCCTAGGCTGTGATCACCTTCATCTGAAGCTGCTGTATTAACTTCTCATGTTGTGTGGCGGGTAGCGGCTTGGTCAATCCATCTGCTGCCATGTTGGCTGTTTCCACATACCAGAGGTCAATTGACCCGTTTTCAATGTGCTCCCGAATGAAGTGGTGCTTGACATCGATATGCTTGGTTCTCTGGTGGAATTTGGGGTTTTCGGCCAAGCTCAATGAGCCTTGGTTGTCTCCATAGATCTTCGTAGCTTGAATGTCATTTCCTGTGTACATCATCTGCTTCATGATCTGTTGTAGCCATAGTGCTTCTGACACTGCCTTTGCGAGTGCATAGTACTCTGCTTCTGTGGTCGATTGTGCCACGGTCTGCTGTCGCTTTGAAGTGTGTGAAATCACACCTCCGGCGAAGAAGAAGGCATTTCCAAGGACCGATTTACGGTTTGCTTTATCGCTTGCATAGTCTGAGTCACAGTATCCATAGAGATGCGTATCGCCTTGCATGCCATATTCGATTCCAAGCATCTTTGCCTTTTAAGTAGTGAAGGATTCGATCTCCTGCTTTCATGTGAGCTGGCGAAGGATTGGTGAGGAATCTGGACAGAACAGAGACTCCATATGAGATATCTGGTCGAGTCTGGACAGCGAGGTACATGAGCGATCCAATCTTCGATCCATAGAGTTTAATTTCTGCGTGTGAAGCCTTGCCTTCAAATGGGATCATGACTTCTGCAGCTCCTGTAGCCACAGGTGTGTCCACTGCCTTGCAATTCTCCATGCCATAGCGGTGCAGAATCTTTGTGATGTATGCATCTTGACAGAGGGAAATTGTTCCTGCCTCTCTGTTGCGTGTGATCCTCACCCCTACAGAGTATGATGCTGGCCCAAGGTCTTCAATTTCGAATTTTTGCATCAGCTCCTTCTTCAGCCCTTGGATTGTTGTGATTTGTTTGCCAATGATCAGCATATCATCCACATATGTGACGATGAGGATTCCAGTCTTCTGATTGCAATAAACGCTGTAATCGCTTGCGCATGTAGTGAATCCAAGTCCATGAAGTGCCTTTGCAAGCTCTCTTTGCCAAAGTCGAGGCGCTTGCTTCAATCCGTAAAGTGCTTTCTGTAGATGGCACATCCAATTTGGCGCATTTTCCAGTATGCTGCCATTGACTTCCCAGTCTGGTGGAACATCCATAAAG